CTCCACTGTGTTCTTAAACTCCACACATCTTCACTAGAATCATTTGGTTAATTTCACCTCTGGAATTGCCAATTTCTACTGAACAAAAGGTAAAAGGAGCTGTTAACTGAAAACTACCACTGCATGACATCCTGTGTTGTGCAAGTTCACACTTTTCATGAACTAGTTCAAAGTTCAGTTCACACTTGTTCAAAGTGAACAGTTCACGTTCATAGTTCACAATTTTAATTTTGACCTAGTTCAAAGTTCAGTTCATTTTATATTTAGATGAGATCTGTAAATGAAAGGCTGCTTTTATTTTTCAAACTGACTTCTAGTTTACAACAACTTTACAAGATCCACTGTTGGACAAGTGACTTTAACACTGTAATGTGTTATTTATGACTTGTTACTGTCATTTCAAAGTCATTTGTTACATTACAATATTACTGTATTTAAAATGTAAAACATTACACGACTATTGCAGCACTTTTAATTTACTCTCACCAAAAGAACTTTTGCGCCGTATATGGACTGAACCAGGACTGAACCAGGACTAAACCAGGTCTAAACCAGGTCTAAACCAGGACTAAACAAGAACTGAACCAGGTCTAAACCAGGACTAGACCAGGTCTAAACCAGGACTAAACCAGGACTAAACCAGAACTGAACCAGGTCTAAACCAGGACTAAACCAGGTCTATACCAGAACTGAACCAGGACTAAACCAGAACTGAACCAGGTCTAAACCAGAACTGAACCAGGACTAAACCAGAACTGAACCAGGACTAAACCAGAACTGAACCAGGTCTAAACCAGGAATAAACCAAGACTAAACCAAGACTGAACCAGAATTGAACCAGGTCTAAACCAGGACTGAACCAGGTCTAAACCAGGAATAAACCAAGACTAAAACAGGACTGAACCAGAACTGAACCAGGACTAAACCAGAACTGAACCAGGACTAAACCAGAACTGAACCAGGTCTAAACCAGGAATAAACCAAGACTAAACCAAGACTGAACCAGAATTGAACCAGGTCTAAACCAGGACTGAACCAGGTCTAAACCAGAACTGAACCAGGACTAAACCAGGACTGAACCAGGTCTAAACCAGGAATAAACCAAGACTAAACCAAGACTGAACCAGAATTGAACCAGGTCTAAACCAGGACTGAACCAGGACTAAACCAGAACTGAACCAGGACTAAACCAGGACTAAACCAAGACTAAACCAGGACCAAACCAGGACTAATCCTGGACTAGAACTTGGAATCTAGGACCGCCCCTGAGTGAACCCCGAGTGCGATCGGGCGTCAGCTGGTTTATCTCGGTGGAGCGCGGACTTCTGCGTCGGTCCTTTCGCTCAGGATCACGGTCTACGCGGGCGCACCTCCGGCGTTTCACCGCTGCTGATATCGCGGTGATTTTAGCAAATTTGTATGAAGAAAAACGAAAAACCCACCATTTCAATCCAGGTTAAAAAAAGCATTGTGACGCGCGTTACTGACATATGTACCAAGTAAAATAATACGCGCGCGGAGCAGCACGTCCTGTGCGTGTAGATTTCAGAAAATAGGATCCATCCTATTTTTTGATCAGATCCACATAGACTGTTAATTAGTGCTTTGAAATTTACTTTTGAAATCCTTGCGTTTGCCGTGGTCAGCCTGTACAGAAGGTAAATACAAGCAGCTAAACGCGCCCAGTCAAGTTTGATTGACTTTCCCATTGAGAGACACAAGAGCCCGTACGTTCCGTTAAAGCTGCCGGTGGAGTCGCCTTCACGTTGACACGCAGCTGTGGTTTCGCGAGGTGAAGTGCGAGCAGATCGTCACTCGTCAAATTCCGACGTTTAACTGAACCCCAACAGTGACGTACGTCGTTCATCACACATAATTTGAACAAATTCACGTTCAAGTTCTTGATTTACAAAAGTGTTGCGTTCAGTTCAAAGTTCACTGAAAAATGAACGTGTTCAATGAACGTGTTCTTTTGAACTCGTTCATGCACAACACTGATGACATCACAAGGGGGATCAGAGCATTTTGAGCTTTGGAGATGCAGACAGACTAAAGTGTTACTCAAACATGTGTGGATGAAGCAAAATACAACTCCAGGCATGTTTTGAGGAGGTAACAGCATTAGAACATGTCTTAAAGCTCAGAAGAGTCTGTTTAGTGTAATATAAGATGTTTGACCTTAAATGTGCTGGACCAATGCAGATCTCAAATGTTTGAAAGATAGATTGTTTCTTACATTTTTATTTTTAATCATCTCATTTTCAGCATAAACATTAGACCCAGTCTTCTTCTTCTTCAAACCATCTTTCCCGTTTTAAATTATCTTTTCTTTTATTGCCTATACTAAATATTATTCTATAATCCTCACTGCATAGATATAGATGTAGTTCTGAAATGTGACTCTTGTATTAGTTTGTCAGTTCAGCTTTCAGCCTGTTTGTTTGTCTTCTTCTGGACGTGCTTCAATGTGAACAGAATCCTCATATTAAAACACAAATCTCACCACCATCTCAATGCTTGTCACAAAAATCTCAAGTACTATTTTTCTCAAATCCTGCAGCCCTTTTTGTGGGACAAGAGGCCTGCGGCAGTGCCAGGAAGCTCAGTGGATCTAGTGCAAACTGCCATTGTGCTTTTTGGCGAGACACTTCACCCATCTTGCCTATGTAAGAATGTGATGTGTGCGTAATAAAGTTGTCATGATACAAACATTTCAAACTCTATTTTTATACTAAGGAATAGAGTCCGACTGATATATCTGTTGGCCGATATTATTGGCCGAGATGGGTACCGCAAACATATTGACTATCGGCCGATATGTTTATTGATATGGACTGATATTTCACGTGGGCATGTTATACCTTATAAAGTTTAGACTCTCTACATTATGACAATTTAATTCCATTTACAGACAGATAATTGTCCTAATATGTGGTTCCGCATCAGTATTTATCTGCGGAGTCATTTGTGTGTGTGTCCGTACTGTCCCTGAACACACCACAGAGTCATTCTTTTTATTATTATTTTTTTATTTATTCTTTTTACAGACAATCGATTTGAGTCTGGATTAAAAGAACATTTATTAGTGCAGACTTGTGATGTGGGAGGAGCCTGTGTGAGCGGTGACTGTTGGAAATATGTCGACTCTGAAGCTAGTTTTGGTTATTTGTTATTGATTAGCGGTTAGCTGCTGTAGCTCTCACACATAAACAGGCTGTTTTCTATTGGTCTATTGTAAATTGATTACATTAGCTGTATATTTGTTACTGGACCTGCATTGATATGGAAATGAGCTGTGAATAGATGTATGAATGATTTACATTTACATTTATGTATATAATTAATTACTGCAGTACGCAGCATTTACAGCTAAAGGCTAATAGCTCTAGTTTCTTTACTAGCTTGTAGTGATGGGTCGGTCGCGAACAAAATGGCTCTTAGAGCCGGCTCTTTGAATCGAACGACGGGAACCTGCTCCTTATTAGAAGCCGTGTTTTCTCTTTCTCTCACTTTTTTCCTCTTCACGCCGCGTGCAGACTCGTGGGAGTTTGACAGCGGCAGTGGCTCAAAACGAAACTTTCAGAAATTTGCGTGTGCATAGGACAGAAAAAAAAGTGCATATATGGCTGTAATTCAGCAAAAAATGAATAAACCAGGACTAATCTTGGGCTCGAGATAGAGACCGAGTCCCGACACTCAGTCCTGGTTCAGTTCTGGTTTAGTCCTGTTTTACACATGGTTTAGATCTGTTTTAGTCCTGGTTTAGTCCTTTTTCAATCCTGGTTTAGTCCTGCTTTAGTCCTGCTTTAGACTTGGTTGCAGACCTGGGCGAAACAAAACAATCTGAAGAGCCGCTTGGGAGCCAAAAGAGCCAGCTGCTTTTAGTGAGTCAAGCCAAAAGAGCCGGTTCTCTAAAAAGAACCAGAAAACCCATCACTAGTAGCTAGAATGTGATGCAAAAATGCCATTAGTCCGACCTACTGTCTGTAAATATGATGTAAAGAGGCAGAAGAACAATAAATTTTGCCTAAATAAACCCAATTTAAAATCCACTAGACCCAAACCTAAAGTGGCTAACTAAGGAATATGCTTGATACTTGATACTTGATACCGCAGTGATAATAAATACTCTTCAACAATAAATGGTAGTACTTTCTTTCTCCTGAAGACCTTCTATGACTCTGTGGTGGCATCAGTCATACTGTACTGTGTGGTCTGCTGGAGCAGCAGCATCACAGAGAGGGAGAGGAAGAAGCTGGACAAGGTCATCAAGAAGTCCAGCTTTGTCCTGGGCTGTTGTCTGGACTCAGTGCAGGAGGTGGGGGACAGGAGGGTCCTGGCTAAGGTCATCTCTGTGCTGGGCCATGAGTCTCAGCCCCTGCAGGACGCTCTGTCTGCTCTGGAGAGCAGCTTCAGTGACAGACTGATTCACCCTCACTGTGTGAAGGAGGTTTCACAGGTCTTTCCTTCCTGCTGCTGTCAGACTGTACAACAAACACTGTTCACACTGAACATGTGCCATCCAACTATATCTATGTGCAATTATTTTTATGTCTATTTTAAAATGATTTTTAAGCCATTATTTATTATCTGTTTTATCGCATGTTACCTTTTTCCTGCTGTTCTTGAATTGCACGTTGCAACATGGAATTTCCCCACTGTGGAACTAATAAAGGCATATCTTATCTTATCTCTTCCCATGTGTCTTATATGTGTGTAATGGTCAGTGGTGCAGTAGGTTCATGTTGATCCATGTGTGTGTACTAGTCTATGTGCTCTGACACTTGTTCTCATACAACTCAACATCATTCTAAACACATTCAGGAAAGATTCTGCACTGTCCTGTCTAGTATCAATGCCTGCGCACATGAGTATCTAGTGGCAATACACATATTTGCCTCAGATCTTTGATACTTTTTGCAACCCTAGTGTGTAAATGATAGTTGTGTTTTCTTTCCTGTTTGTTATTCTTATTGGTCATGATCTCCTTTTTCTTGCAGATGAACATGGACTGCTTCTGTCACCGTTTAATCTAGTGCCTTGGTCAGTGAACCTTCAGTCCTTCCCCTGACCTCTGACCTCTGACCTATGATGATGAACACGGTGAAGTCCAGCGGTCTGCGAATGCCCGGCCGAGCGCCCAAACACACGGGTTCAGTGGGACGCAGCGCCACAGGGGGCTCATCCAGTCCTGTGCTCCCCAAGGACAGTAAGTGTGTGTTCTGTTAACACTTAATGACAAGTTAGTCTCTGCACAGGCACAAAGGAAGTATAATATGACTTCCAAATAATATTACTTAACTAGAAGTATAAAGTAGTGGTCCAAGAAATGATTCAAGTAAGAGTTAAAAATCTAGTAACAATCTGATTTAAGATTAAAACATTTTTGGAATTTGAAGGACAAAACATAATATTGTACAAAATCTACTGTAGTATTTTCAAAGGACAGACACAAAAAATAAGACAAACTAATCATATTTGAAGGAGCGCTGTAAGAAAAACAAATGTTCAAATCTGTTCATAGTGTTGCATAAAGCTTTTGTCACTTTTGGGAAGAGTAAACACAACTTTTACTCAAGTAAGAATAGTGTCATTTTAACAAATTATACTGGATTGAAAGTATGCTGGTAGAAAAGTACCTTGAAAAGTACAATTTCTTTAAAAAGTAAATGTAGCAGTGTTCTATCCACCTTTGATTCTCTGTCCGTAATAATGCTATATTTGTATTGGTAGTTTGTTAAGTGAGATTGTAGTATTAATTAATCACTGCATTTGTATAGCGCCTTTCAAGACACTTGACTTTCCACTCTCTCCACACTCTGCCAATCTGAACCCCTCAGACCACCACCATCACTCACACACACTCCACTTTCTTACTAGGCAATGTAGGTGAAGTGCCTTGCCTAAGGACACAATGACAGTTTTTACCACTGGTGCCCCCTGTGGCTCCTGATGTTCACAGTGTCTCTCGTCCACGTCCTGACCAGGCCCAGCCTCGCAGAGCCTCTGACATCCGACACGATCACATTTTGACAATCTGGTATGACCACAAGTAAAGTAGTAAACAGAGAATAAAGATTATACCATATCCATCAAGTTTTAGTTTTACAATCATTTAAAATAAATAAATAAATAAATAAATTGAGTGAATGTTATACTACATTTATAGTACAGGTACAGTACATTTATACTACATTTATAGTACAGGTACAGTACATTTATACTACATTTATAGTACAGTTATAGTGCACTTATAGTACAGTTATACTACTACATTTGTAGTACATTTATAGTACTCTTATAGTACAGTTATAGTACATTTATAGTACTCTTATAGTACATTTATAGTACTCTTATAGTACTCTTATAGTACAGTTTATAGTACAGTTATAGTACAATTATAGTACTCTTATAGTACTCTTATAGTACAGTTATACTACAGTTATACTACTACATTTGTAGTACGTTTATAGTACTCTTATAGTACAGTTATAGTACATTTATAGTACTCTTATAGTACAGTTATAGTACAGTTATAGTACATTTATAGTACTCTTATAGTACATTTATAGTACTGTTATAGTACTGTTATAGTACATTTATAGTCCTCTTATAGTACATTTATAGTACTGTTATAGTACAGTTATACTACAGTTATAGTACAGTTATAGTACATTTGATTGAAAAACACTGTTAGTATTGGTAGTTATGAGCGTATCACAAAGTGTAGACATGAAACATTGTTTTTAATCCACTGTTAGCAGGGGCAGATAGCGTCCAGTGAGGATGTGCTGATCCAGCAGTTTCAGTTCCGGTAACGATCCCCAAAACAGCATTTATTTCTTTAAAACTAAAATAAAACAAGAGAAAACAGATCCAAATGTGTTTTGTAGCTGTTATTTGTCCTTGAAGTTACTACAGACAAATTACAGCTCAGACATTCAGAGACTTTCTTCTGAGGCTACTCTTAAACATTCTTCTATTGTTAGATTGGTTGTTGACATGTATGCAGGCTCTGTGATCATCATGGTGATTATTTTTGGTATTTCTCTTCTAAACACAAACTAATACAACAGTTTTTATTAAATAAGACAAGGTTTAGCTTTAGGAAAAAGTGGGCCCCTGGCACGAAAATGGCAGTGACAGGGGGCCTGGCTCTTTCCTTGCAGCAGTGGGGTCCGGGGACCCCTGGTGGGCCTCAGAAGCGTTGCATGGGGACCCCCAAAGCAAGAAAGAATTCAATCAATTTTACACAAGATATTTCTTTATATTTCTTTATCTTAGATTACATTAGGTGTGTATAGAATACATTAGATCACATGACATTCTTGGTGCATGAACTCCTGTGCAGTGGAAGGCTTGTGGGCAGGTTGGGTCATTACTTTAGTTATATTTGATTACATTTTAAAGTACATGTTGACAGGTTTTATGATTCTCATCAATCAAGAAGAAGTAGACATTTTACAGAATTCTCTACTGATGACATTGTGCATCCAAAAGTTTGGCACAATTTACAACACTTTTCTCCACAGATTTGAATGAATATTTAAACAACATAAAGGTGTTTTCTTATATTTTCATTTGTCAAATAATAATTTCTGTGAGATTAGGGGAGGTTTGGCCCAGTGTGCCACATGGTCGCTAGGTAACAGTTAAGGAATTCCTTAGCAGGATGTCATCATTTCCAACAGGAAGTAACATTTTAAACCAAAAAAAAAAAAAAAAAAAAGAAAGAAAAAGGAAAAAAGCCAAACTGGGTAATTTTTTTACAATTTCTTTTGATAACATCTTCAGTTCAATGAGTTAGTGTTTTAGTAAAATTACTGTGATAGGCCTTTTCAGCTGCTTTGTTGCTAACTGAACATGCATGTCTGTGCCTGCAGGTGTTCCTCTGAAGCCCCTCACACCTCCCAAGTTCTCAGAGGAGGGAGATGATGTTCTGGGGGACTACACAGTGGGTGAGTCGGTGTGGGTGAATGGAGTCAAAGCTGGCACCATTGCCTACCTTGGAGAGACCCAGTTTGCTCCAGGTCAGTGGGCAGGGGTCATCCTCAGTGACCCTGTGGGTAAAAACGATGGCTCTGTTGGCGGCGTGCGCTACTTTGAATGCCCGGCTCTCCAGGGCATCTTCACCCGGCCCTCCAAGCTGACCCGCCAGCCCGCGGCCGAGGGGTCAGACGCCCACGGCCCCGACCCTGCCCAGCCCCAGCACGACACCAGCAGCGCCCCCTCAGGCCAACGCGTGGTGGTGCCGCTCCGAGAGGGGCTCCTCAACAGTGCGGTCAAGACAGGCAACGAATCGGGCTCCAATATGTCCGACAGCGGCTCCGCCAAGAGAGGAGGAGAGAAGGACCTGCGCGTGGGAGATCGTGTTTTGGTACAGCCATAGTTTCTCCTTAGTGCTTCGTTTACTCCCTCACTCAGCTGTATTATGTATCAGTGTTTGGGATTATAGACCTGTACCTGATTTTTCCCATTTATTTGAGCAGAATGTCTCACCGCAGCACAGACAGATTGTATAAGCAGCTCTTGAGGTCAGAATAAGTCTGCTGCATATTGTCTGCATTTAATTATAAAGTATTTTATTTATATATTATATAAGGGCACAGGGCCTTAACCTACACTTAACCAGCTTCATTATTTCATTGTGAACACTGTGCCAGCACATCCAGACTTTGTGCTCTCATGGGGTTTATCTCACAGGGGTGTGCAGTGCCATGAATCTGGCATTACAATACTTATCATGATATTCAATATATCACCATATATCCAGATGCTAAAACAAAGGACCATATATTGTGATTTATCAATAATTCTGTATAATATTGTGGTTGACCTAACAAAATTGGCAAGGCAAGTTTATTTGTACAGCACTATTCCAACACAAAGTAATTCAAAGTGCTTTACAAAATCAGAACAAATCAAAACAAATTGTGTGATATACAGTTTATTTCATTTTTTAATCATGAGAATACCAAATGAAACTTACATTTTTCATGAAAAACATGAGGTTAAAAAATCTATTTTGACCCATTTTGAATTTATATGAGAATTGTGCAGTGAAGTATTGAAATATAACACTGAACCCACTTTTTCTTTACACCCCTACTACCTCCTGCTTGATATTGTACATTAATAACAGTAGTAATATTTAACCTTTTAAAATAAATAGTATTTAGTATTTACACTGTGTGTATAGTAAACTTGACTGTATAGTATACTTCACTGTTAAAACAACTGGCAGCTACAACTCTTTTGACTAGTAATAGTAAATTTTGCATATACACTAATACACAAGTTGCTCTCAGTATGAGGTTGTGTTAATATCCAGGCTTTTGTGTGTCAGGTGGGCGGCTCGAAAATGGGAGTCATTAGATACATGGGTGAGACGGACTTCGCCAAAGGAGAGTGGTGCGGAGTGGAACTGGACGAGCCTCTGGGCAAGAACGATGGAGCTGTGGCAGGGACCAGGTGAGCACAGGTAGAACACATGTGACAGGGACCAGGTGAGCACAGGTAGAACACATGTGACAGGGACCAGGTGAGCACAGGTAGAACACATGTGACAGGGACCAGGTGAGCACAGGTAGAACACATGTGGTAGGAGTCACTTTTGGTTCCACAGTGTGCACATTTCAACATTGGGTTTCTACAACTAAATGAAGACTGAATAAGGAAAGTCTCCCTCTGTCCTCTCTCCTCTCCTGTCTCCCTCTGTCCTCTCTCCTCTCCTGTCTCCCTCTGTCCTCTCTCCTCACCTGTCTCCCTCTGTCCTCTCTCCTCTCTGTCTCCTCTGTCTCTCTCCTCTCCTGTCTCCCTCTGTCCTCTCTCCTCACCTGTCTCCCTCTGTCCTCTCTCCTCTCCTGTCTCCCTCTGTCCTCTCTCCTCTCCTGTCTCCCTCTGTCCTCTCTCCTCACCTGTCTCCCTCTGTCCTCTCTCCTCACCTGTCTCCCTCTGTCCTCTCTCCTCACCTGTCTCCCTCTGTCCTCTCTCCTCACCTGTCTCCCTCTGTCTTCTCTCCTCTCCTGTCTCCCTCTGTCCTCTCTCCTCACCTGACTCCCTCTGTCCTCTCTCCTCTCCTGTCTCCCTCTGTCCTCTCTCCTCACCTGTCTTCCTCTGTCCTCTCTCCTCACCTGTCTTCCTCTGTCCTCTCTCCTCACCTGTCTTCCTCTGTCCTCTCTCCTCACCTGTCTTCCTCTGTCCTCTCTCCTCACCTGTCTTCCTCTGTCCTCTCTCCTCACCTGTCTTCTTCTGTCCACACATAGTCCTTAATAATGCTTCTCTTTACTGTTTCCAGGTATTTCCAGTGTCTTCCAAAGTTTGGCCTGTTTGCTCCAATCCACAAAGTGATCCGTATCGGTTTCCCGTCCACCAGCCCGGCCAAGGTGAAGAAGAGCAAGCGTATGGCCATGGGCGTGTCCTCTCTGGCCCACAGCCCCAGCAGCTCCTCCATCAGCTCTGTCAGCTCTGTGGCCTCGTCTGTGGGGGGGAGACCAAGCAGAGCAGGGCTGGTACGACTCTACATATGTCATATTCTATTTCACTTCACTATGTAAATTCAGGGATCATGCACACTGCGTATATGATCCCTGCAGGCAAGTTTTGTTAAGGGCTGTAGTCAACTAAAGACATTCTTGGTGTAAAGAAAGAAATTCACTGACTAAAAAGAGGGTGGAGCAAAAGCTCTCAAATCTATTACGTATCTCTGTGTATTTGACCGAAACTAATAAGAAAATCAATGTATTTACACATAAATACCAAAAAGCCCTTCAGCTAACTCACTCACTTCTCCTTTCTGCTGTTGCTTTATTTAAATCCATATAATCTAAATACAATGATTAGGAGAATCAGGGAGATTAGAGAGAGAGGTGAGACGTGGTACAGAACCTAAAGCTCACTGTGTCTCTCCCTGCCTGTGCCTCAGCTCACAGAGACCTCATCCCGATACGCTCGGAAGATCTCCGGCACCACAGCCCTCCAGGAGGCTCTAAAGGAGAAGCAGCAGCACATCGAGCAGCTACTGGCAGAGAGGGACCTGGAGAGGGCCGAGGTCGCCAAGGCAACCAGTCATATTTGTGAAGTGGAGAAAGAACTGAGTGCACTGAAAGCCTCACACCTTCAGGTACTACACCTGCACCATACTGTCCCAAACTAAGCACTCAGCACAACTGTCTGCTGGCACCTGGGAAGGTCAGTCACTCATGTACTTACATCAACCAGCTTCTGCTTTATGGAACGTCACACCAACATGGCCACATAACCATATGAGAAAGAGAGACATGAACCTGTAAAAGAGGTCCTGTCACTCTTGTGTTAATCTTAATGAACATACATGATATACAGGCTGTAAACATGCTCATTCACACACATGTGTACACTAGAGACAAAGTAGGTGATGTGTCTTGTCCAAGGACACAATGGCAGAAATATCCTGCTGTCCACTGTGGCACCTGGTATTTCCAGCGGTCTGGCCTCTTAGCTTCTGAGATCTAAGCATACCTGCAAACTTGTCGCTTTTTGGCTACAATCTAATTTTTCTCGGTCAATTGGGTCATTCACGTGAATCGCTTAGAACCGCTCAGCGTCTGGGGATGGGTTCTGATAGGACAGGGACATGAACGTATTTACATCGACCGGAAGAAAACACACACATCAGCTGCTACTGGCTTTTCTGTCATCTTGGTTTGTCGTTAAGCTTGGGGACATTCATACAAACTGGGGAACAGCGTCCAAACCAGAGTCCTAAACCAGCAGGAGCAGCTCCGGTTCAGGTCTGGAAGCAGGGTTAGGTGCACTTTCCCCGGGAAGAGCCAAATGTGCGGACGGACGCTCAGAACAGCATGTAACCAACCAAACGGGTTTGGCGCTTCTGTCTGGATGTTTTGCACCAGCTCGGTACCATCCACATGGATCCCATGCTTGGGGCCTGGTGCCACTGCATGTGCGTATTTCGCCTGACACGAGCGTAAAAACTGCAACTTTTGGACACGTAACTTTTAGAATGCACTGAAAGTGAACACTGCACACACTAGCGCTCGTATGGAGCAACGTGTCCTGTGCCCGTAGATTACAGAAAATAGGATCCATCCTACTTTTTGACGCTGTACACGAGTGTAGGCGTGTATTCCCCTCAAAATACACAGAATCTATTGTTGTATTTGTGCGTTTACCATCAGCACATCGTGCTCCTGGGGCAGTTCTGTGTCATGTGAAAGAGCCCAGGTCCAGAAAGATTGTTCATAAGAGCTTTAAAATTTACTTTTGAAACCCTCGCGTTTGCACTGGTCAGCCTCACTGTTGGGCAAGTTACTTTAAAACTGTAATGCGTTATTTAGGACTTGTTACTGACATTTCAAAGTAATTTGTTACATTACAATATTTTACTGCGTTTAAAATGTAAAACATTGCATTACTATTGCATTAACTTTTGTACCATATATGAACTGAACCAGGACTAAACCAAAACTGAACCAGAGCTGAACCCGGACTGAACCCGGACTGAACCCGGACTGAACCCGGACTAAACCCGGACTGAACCCGGACTAAACCCGGACTGAACCCGGACTAAACCCGGACTAAACCCGGACTAAACCCGGACTAAACCCGGACTAAACCCGGACTAAACCCGGACTAAACCCGGACTAAACCAGGACTAAACCAGAGCTGAACCAGGACTGAACCAAAACTCACATTTGTACAGAGTAAAACATGACAATTTTTTTCTTGTTATGCCTTACAGTAAAAAAGCAACACATTACAGTAATTCGTTACTTTTATAACATGTTACCCCCCCGCCGCTCACCGTACACCTTCTTTTCTCTGAGGAGTTTGCAGGTCTGTCTAAGGAGATGACGCGCTGTCAAGGTGGTTTTGACTTGAATTCGTATTGAGAGAGTAAAACTAGGTCTCTCAAAAGCGTTTCTGCTGTATCTGTGGTGTATGTGTGTGTTTCAGTATGTCTCAGACAATGAAAGGAGCCTGCTGCAGGTCCAAACTCTTCTGGCCACCACACAGAAGGACAAACAGGAACTCATCAATCAGCTTGAAGAGGAGAAAAGGTACCATTAGACAAAGCATCTCTGTGTGAGTGCATTGCTCATATGGTGAAGAAATTGACCTATTTTATATCTCTCTTGCCTCTTACCTTACCTCTTTTAAGTGTCATGCACATCTACCCAACTGTCACAACTTCTAGGAACCGAGGACTCCCATAGACTCGCTGTCAAACTCATATATAATGTTCTGTTGTGATTATAGTTCTGTGTGCTATTTACTCTAAAGATAAATAATGTCTTGAATTTATGCAAACATGATCTTGGTAGTTCTTTTACAATGAGTTGAAAATTACAGTAAAGTCAGTCTCTGTAAATCTAATCAGAAATTTAAGATGTGGCAATTTCTGTGGCCCAGGGACCATTTGTCTTGGTTAGCCTGTGCTCTGGCAGCTGAGCGCAGCGCTGCCACACGCTCCTCAGCTTTAGAAGTGTTCATTTATAGAACCTTCTACATTAGAGTTAGAGTAAGTCTAACTTGGTACAATGTACCAATGTGACCATCCTTCTATTTTCTGCCCCTATTAGGAAAGTGGAGGACCTGCAGTTCAGGGTGGAAGAGGAGTGCATCTTCAAAGGAGACCTGGAGGTAATGATTCTGAACTGAGAAAAGTAAAATGATCCTTAAGGACCCACACATCATTCTCTGGTGTGTCCTTCATCGTATGTAACACTGACACTTTTAAGTTTCAATATAATAATTTAAAACATAATGCTTGTCCCCTGCACATTTGAGGAATCCTGGCTCAACTGTTTCTGAGACCACCGTAAAAGATCAGCAGTGTGAGACAGTGTGAGACAGTGTGAGACAGTTTGAGACAGTGTGAGACGGTGTGAGACGGTGTGAGACGGTGTGAGACGGTGTGAGGCGGTGTGAGGCGGTGTGAGACAGTGTGAGGCGGTGTGAGACAGTTTGAGGCGGTGTGAGGCGGTGTGAGGTGGTGTGAGGCGGTGTGAGATGGTGTGAGACGGTGTGAGACAGTGTGAAGGCGGTGTGAGACAGTGTGAGACAGTGTGAGACAGTTTGAGGCGGTGTGAGGCGGTGTGAGACAGTGTACAGTTGAGTGCAGCAATATGCAGACTTCACAGTGACAGAAACACTGACACATGGCTCTCTGTGTTGTACTTGAGTGCACTCAGTCACAGTGAACAGGCTAAATGAAGACAGGTGTAACATCAGTGATTCTCTGTTATCATGACAGATGCTAAGCTTCTACAATCAGGGTTTAAGCTACTCGATTAGCATTGATTAGTATCAATACACAGTCCTACTGTTCTAATTACACAAATGTACTCCAGTGAAGTGTTTCACTTGTTGTCAGTGGCAGCAGCTCCCTGTTCTCTGTCCCATCTGTCACTACCTGATTTTAGTGCATCTCTACAAAAACCTCATAGAAATATGACTGGAGCTGAAGTGCTCATGAAAACTGTTTAAGGAACTGGGACTAGCCAGTTGTCATTGTTCACAGAACAGCTTGGTAAAACAGTAATGGATTATCAAAGAGGAAACACAGTCCATCTGAACAGAAATGGAGGTCTGTCGCCCATCCTCCGACTCCATCCTCCGACTCCATCCTCCGACTCCATCCTCCGACTCCATCCTCCGACTCCATCCTCCGACTCCATCCTCCGACTCCATCCTCCGATTCCATCCTCAGACCTAAAACAAACCAAACACATCAATAGTATTATCCCGTGTGCTGATAGAAGTGAGACTATCCATTGGGTTTTTGAACAGTCATGTAAAATATCATGTAATTAGTCACAGACTAATTACAGACCCTCTTTACTGTAAAGAGTGTGTCAGCTTCAGTGTAGTTAGCTCCACACATCAGACAGATTGTTGACAGAGTTAAATGTTCTTTAGCAGTAATGGATTGTGTTTCTCTCATCAGCAAACCACAGTGGAGGAGCAGAGTCGCATCATGCAGCTTGAGAAGGAGCTGAGTCTGAAGAAGGCCGAGCTGGAGCGTCTCCAGGCTCAGGTCAGAGGAACCAACCAGGAGTCCAGTGAGCAGGAGGAGCAGAGTGAGCAGGAGGAGCAGGAGCCAGCAGCCCCAGGACAGACTCAGAGGAGCTGACCAGCCTGCGTGGGCTGGTGGCCAGACAGAACCAGGAACTCAATGATCTGAAGCAGCAGATCCAGCAAGTCAACAAGGAGAACATGGACATGATGGACTCCTGGAAGGTACAGAGTGCCTGTCTATCTCTCTCTCTTTAGGTCTGCCCCGGGGTGGACTCAGGTCTTTAGCACCATCCAAAAAGGTCCAGTTGGTTCTGATATTGGAAATATATGCATTCATTTTTGCAGTGCAAACCATAACATGAGTGAAAAGATTGTCCTGTTCAGGTGCAGGTTTTGCACCTTTAAAGTCAGTGAGACAAAGTGAAACACTGCAGATGAATGTCATTTTCATTTATCATTAATCAAAGAGCCCATATTAGGCTATTTCTAATCTATATTATAATGTTGTTTCCACATTCAAAACAGACCTGGAGTTGTGTTTTGTTTCACATGTTAAACACACAAACCCTGCAAATTAAGGCTGAGTTCTTCTCTCAAACACAAACCTTGTGATGTCATGTGGTAATACAGGAAGAGCTCCACTGTGTTTATAAACTCCATTCATTCATTCATTCATTTGGATGATTTCAGCCCAAGAATTGCCAATCTCTACTGAACAAAATGTAAAAAGTACCTGTTAATGTGAAAACTACCACTTCATGACATCACAAGGTGGAACAGAGCATTTTGAGCTCTGGGGTTGTAGACAGACTAATAATTAAAGGGTTACTCAAATGTGTGAATGAAACAAAACACAAAGCATGTTTCTGAGGAGGTAACAGTGTTATAATGTGGTTTAGAGTCAGTTTGGTGTGATATAGGATCTTCAATATAAAGCTCATTACAGCCAACAGAGGTTATGCTCTGACGTCATTTTATTTGACAGATGCTCCTCCACATTCTGCCTGAGTAGAACTATAGGCAGCACAACATGGAGCTGCTCTTTTCACTCCACAATCATTATTAATAATTATTATAATCATTTATTGAGCAGAGTTCTCTCTCTTGCATTTCATGTTAAACTCTAGCAGCTCTTTCACATTTTAGATTTGCTAAAAGAGCTTACCATTGACACTCACATACCTTTTGTGATGTCATGTGCATAACCTCTGTACATTAAAGTCAGTCTGATGCCCAGAAAATAAATCACATTACATACATATGTTGATGGAGATTCATGTTGAAAATGAATACATCTTATTGGACATTTTATTAACCATCCTCATCAGATACTTTCCCATTACTATTTTTTTTTTAAAGTACTGTTCTGTCATTAAATCTACAGATTTAACAGTTTCAGAAGGACTTAAGGTTAAGAGGTTAAGGTTGTGGTAGACTTTGGAATCCACAACCTTAATACTGTGTGTGTGTAATAAGTGGGACTGCTGCCAACGTGCTGCGTGTTCAAGGGCACACATGAGCTCACTCATTTAAATACTTGATCAGTTGTTCAGAGTTAGACTGTGTTAAATCAAAGCCCAGACTGGAGTCTATCTTGGGGAAGATAGTGAGCTCTTACCTTCAAGTGTTGCCATGGAAATTTGTTGAATGTTGGATGGACGCAGCCAGACAAAATGACCATTAGCATGGAATTCTAGGGTTAGACCTAACTAGATCAGATTAACTATCTGGTTTCTTCAGAAATGGCATTTCAAAGGAAATGTTGGTAACCCTCTGTGTCCTTTGATTTCAGGCCAAGTTTAATGCGTTGGTCATTGACCATGAGAAGTCTTTTGAGGAGCTGAAAGCCTCTCTGAAAAGTTCTCCCAGTGCTCCATCAGGGCAGGAGCCAGATGCCCAGGAGCTGCTGGTGTGTGTGGAGAGCATGAAGATGGAGCACCAGCTGGAGATGGAAAACCTCAAGGCCAAACACAAGATTGAAGCTGCCATTCTGAGCAAGGAACGCGACGACTTGTGTCTTCGACTGCAGGAGACCCGGAAGCAGTTGGAGAACAGGACCACAGAGGGAACAGAGGAGGAGCTCACAGGACAATACAGTGAGTGGACTAAACATCAACTGTTATTTCAAAATTCAGAAAACTCTAGAGCAATATTTACTCTAAAGGCACACATTATACAAAATTTACCATGTTAGAATATTGTTCTCTCATTAAAGTAAACCTGTTATACAGAAGTGACTTTTCAGAGCCTTTACCCTTGCTTGGAGTGATTTGTGCATGTTTGAGTAATCTTTAATTACTTCTTTTCAAGACGTCATATTGCTGATCATGCTCTCTGTTCACTGCCACCAACATATGCCCCCTGTGGTGTATCTCAATCAGTGATACAAATAGCATTCAGTGTAGTCATTTTGGTACAAATGAAGAAAAAAAAAAAATCTGCTGTTTGCTATAGTGATGTGCAGATATCCACAGACTTCTGTCTGACATTACCATTTGCCGCATGGACCAGTTTTGGGGGACTTATTTTCCATCCTGGGCCAACAAGAATGTCTTACAGATCTGTTGGTGGCGATACGTTGACATGTGCTGATGTGGGCATGGCCTTGCAGGGACCAAGGTTTATTAACATTAACATGTTACTTTAAACACTGTATCCATGTTTGTTTTGAGTTTTATTAGAGTGAATGTAATAAGAAGTGCACTGCCCCAGACTCCCCCATTTGCACTGACTGCACGAGTGTCACAGACTCTCACTGCTTTCCTTTCGTGCTGACTAGTACGTAAATCCACATCTCCACTTCAGAGAGGGTGGAAAGGAAGCCACAGAAGAACGTTTACATTTTATTTAGACAGCTCCCCTGATGCTCTGGAGCAGATGTCTGTGCAGATGCCGGTGCGTCTGTCTGCAGAGGGCGACTTTCTGTGGTGGGTGCAATATGAGCCATTTACACACTCGTCCCAAGAAATCCATAACACCGACTGATCGTGATGATGTTTATGGTGGTGTCAGCTCCCATTGGGCACCGCATCTTTCTAAAGCCGTAGTCTGCAGACTATTTCTTTAGTCAAGTGGTTTTAGATTACTTTTGTGATTTCACATTTGTAAATAATAACAAGTACAATATGTGTATTTTGCTTAATTCACACTCAAGTTGGTAGTCCTCAGTAAAAAGACTTTTCCCTCTGAGCCTCACCAAAGACTGTTTGAAATGTTCCAGGATTATGATGTCACAGATACAAACCTCACGTAGTCTTAAAGTCCATAAATTATCTTGTTTGAAACATGCATCACCATGTCCAGACATGTTCCACATTATTGCATTTTTAAAATTTTATTATTTTCCAAAGCACTTTGAAATGGCAAGCTGAGAAGGAGCCTTGTAGCAACCGATAATGTAATAACAGACAATAATGTAATAACAGACAATAATGTAATAACAGACAATAATGTAATAACAGACAATAATGTAATAACGGACAATAATGTAATAACGGACAATAATGTAATAACGGACAATAATGTAATAACAGACAATAATGTAATAACAGACAATAATGTAATAACAGACAATAATGTAATAACTGTGGTGAGCCAATTATGTAATAACATCTTGCCAATAATGTAATAAGTCAGTGGCTCTCAAACTTTTCATTTTAAGTACCACCAAAGAAAAGATTTGGCTTTCTGAATACCTCCAGATCTAAAGCAGGACTATAACAGGACTATTGTAGATCTAATCGAGGGATAAACCAGGTCTTAAAGTGGCCTACATAATTTACCCTGTAGTTCTAAACAAGAAATGATCTAAACGAGGACAGAAAGTAGATAACGTGAACTCTAAATGAGGCAAACCCACAAACCAAAGAGCTCCATGCTCCACCTGAAGGAGCTTGTACGACTAGTGGTACTAAGAATGGGCCCCAGTCCCAGTATCAGTGTTGACCGATGTTCAATAGCAATATTTTTAATAATGTGACGTTATTGGCTGCTTTATATCTTTGGCCCGACAAAGAACATTTCCTTTGATAATATAAAAACTGCAGTCAATAATGTAGTCATTATTTGCAAGATGCTGTTACATAATTGGCTCACCATAATTATTACATTATTGGCCTGTTATTACATTATCACATTATTACATTATTATATTACATATTCAGCTAAAACAACTTCATAAGAAACAAGTCGTCTGAGCCAATGAGAGCTGACATTATCATAAATGTCATCACAACAGCCACATGTCGTTTTTATATATATATATATATATATATATATATATATATACACACACACACATATATATATATAATGTGTGTGTGTGTGTGTATATATATATATATATATATATATATATATATATATATATATATATATATATATATATATATATATATATATATATATATGTATGTATATGTATGTATGTATATATATATGTATGTATATATGTATATATATATGTATGTATATATGTATATATGTATATAGTATATATGTATATATGTATATATGTATATATGTATATGTACCAGAATTATGTTTAAAAAATATAAAACTGGAGAACAGAGGAGAAGTTCAGAGCTGTGTACTGGTGAAGGTGAAAACTGGAGTTGATCTACAGAATGATATCTTGAAAATAATTGCTCAAACAAGCATGAATCACTCCAAAGAGAACTTCCGAGCTCTGAAAAGTCCATTCTGTAGAATAGGTAGGTCTGTAAGTCTGCGAAAAATCTAATGTGTCCTGTGGTTGTGTGTGAAGCCTTGAAGCAGGTCCTGAGTGACACTCGTGAGCGGCTGCAGAAAGCCGAGCAGCAGCTCCAGGAGGGAGACAGACTACAAGAAGAGCTGCAGGAGGAGAGACAGAGACTACAGGAAGAGAGAGAGAGGAGCGAGGCAACGCTCAGGAGGAGTCTAGAACAGAAGAGCTCTGAGCTGGAGGCCCTGCAGCAGGCACACACCCTCAGTCTGGACACTGTGCACCGCCTGGAGCAGGAGCTAAGGGAGCGGCTGGAGAGTCAGGTCCTTCCTGAGGACTACAACCACAGCAGGGACACAATCCACAGACTAGAGGAAGAACTGAGAGTGACCACTAACCAGCTCCAGGCCCTGCAAGCCCAACAGCGCACATCCCAGGAAGCAAACGTGAGAATGCTTTCCTTTCATGAAAGGAACTGTATGTAGTCTGAGCTCTTACTGTTTTAAACAAATACAATCACAACTGAACATGAGTGGCCAGTGACTTAAACTGCAGGCACATACATGTTTCCTCCAGAATTCCCTCCCTCAGCTGCAGAGGCTGCACTAGCACTGATTCAGGATTTCCTTCAGATGCTGGGGTTTCATTCAAATTATGCTCTATTTATAACAGAAACCACTTGTCCATCACATCCACTGATTTTGTAATGAAGAATAAATTAGCATGACAGTAAAAGCTGTATTGATTTGAACACATTTACCTTACATCTGGGAGCACAGAGAGGTCATGTTTAAGACATTTAAAATCTAAATTCAATGTCATAAACTTTAATCTTTAATCCCAATTGAATCTAAATGCAAAGACTGCAATTTTTAAGTCATTTGCAAACAATGACTGTCAGGAAAATCTGAAATTAGATATTTTGACAAAAGAGTTCAGCCCAAATTCTTCTCTCTTGATTTTGTCATACATATTGTGCACTTGTACATAGTATTCTGTTGTGCTGTATCTGCTGCAGGTGATAGAGGACCATGAGACATCAGAGGAACAGATGAACCCCAAACACAATATTCAAGGTAAAGAAAGTGACTGTTACTCTGATGAGCTGCGCGCTCACGCCACTCAAGGGGACACCATATTCATATTTGTAGGTACAAATTTCTCAAGATAAGGACTTCACAGTTTGATAAAAGTGGATTTCTTCACTGTTATTGTTGTTTTGAATTGCTAAAAAAATGTTTGTGTTCCCATCCTCCTCTCAGCCTGTCTAGTGAATACCCTCTGCTTTCACACACACTGTTTGTGTGTTATAGAAACCACAGAGAAACTGATGAAAAGAGAGAAGGAGGTTTCTGCTCTCATCTCACAGGTGGAAGCCCTCAAGTCTCAAGTCACCGGTAATGCTCCTGTGTTTTACACTCCCTTCTCTATACTGTACTGTGATTGTGATTGTACACTTAAAAGCTCCTGACCTAAACATGATTCTATTCCATTTACCATAATATGTAATCTATATGTACGGGAAATAGGTCAAAACAACTCAGCCGTATTTGGATATATACTAAATTTACAGCAGGTGCAGAGGGTTGAAGCTTTTAAGATTGTAGAATTATACCATGGTTTAATTAATGTGTCCATTATAGAAATGTATGTTCTCCTGATTTCGCTCACAGAAAAGTAGCTCAGGAGCCTGACGGGTGGAGCCGGTTCCTCTGTTATGTTCAGTATAATGGTCGTTTTATTCCACTGAAGCACTGGTTACACTCTTATAACTAATACAACTCCTCCAAAAGGCACTTAGGGATAGTTTTCAGTGGCACCCCGTCATCTTTTGATATAAAGTGATATAATACTGATATGTCGTGATACTAAATGTGGTGATACAGTATCGATATATTGGCATGAGTATATTTTCTTTCTAAATGATTTTGAGACAGTGCTACAATTCAGTTTGACATTTGACATATTCACTGTTTTGATGATTAAAGTAGGTATGTGTCATATTCACTTTACACAGGTATAGCTTTAACAAAGAAACACTGTTGTTATACTGTATTTGTGTTTAAAAAAAAACAATGTATGTGTAATGTGCAATACATTGATCATTGCATTTATTGTAAAATACTGATATTGTATCATGAGCCATTGTGTTGGACTGTGAGTGACTCTGTGAATCCTTAGTCAGACTGGTGCCACCCAGTGCCTCCGCTCAGTTTCATTTCTCTCCAGTGACTAGGTCCAGCCAATCAGAGAAGAGCCAGATATTCAGTGTTGTCAGTGATTCCCAAGATCGAGGATTTAAAGTCGGAACAAAGAGAATGCTTGGTGAATTTAATCAAGGGGAAAGACGTTATTGTCCTTCTTCTTACGGGATTTGGGAAAAGCTTAATATATCAGTTAGCCCTGTTAGCGGTGCATTACATATATGATGACCAAATAGCAGCAATTGGTTAAATAAAAAAAATACCCGCCTACCGTCGAGAAAACAAATTCTAACACTGCGAGGTTAGTTTCTATGAAGTGAAACAAAGTGAAACCGGCTGATGAATCAGGCTAGTGAATCTCAGCCCCAGATTTAGCATTATGAAAAAAAAAAGAGAAGCTGCTCCCCCCGCGACCCGGCCCCGGATAAGCGGACGAAAATGGATGGATGGATGGCTGAGAGAGAGAAGCTATTGTCTTATGAATAAAATATAATTATATTCTTGTTGAATAAAAATGTATTGTAGATCAGTTTGGAGTATAAAATACTTCACAGAAGTATGAAAATACACACAGTTTAGTTTGGACCTCTTTGAAGAACTCTGGGCCCCCCTGAGAATGTTTGGGTTTGGAGTGATATGTGGTTGTATGTACATGATTTTGTTGATGTTGTTGACATGAGCAGAGATGAGTAAACTGAAAAGCCCTTTTTAAATCAAGTTTGTTTGTGGTTGGATCATGTTGTTTTTCCTGTTTTGGCAGCGCTGGAGGGGAAGGTGAGTGCGGGAGAGAGGAAGACAGAGCAGCTGCTGAAAGAAAAGATGCGCATGGAGGCGGAGCTGGACTCCATGAGCAGGAAATCCCATGATGCATCTGGGCAGCTGGTCAGCATCAGCCAAGAACTGCTCAAGAAAGAGAGGTACTGTTCAAGATCTGAGACTGTCCCCTGTCGCAGGGAACACTGTGATCTCTCACACTCCTCTTCAGAGTGCACAAAACACTGGATTCAAGAACAAAAATTCTACTGTTATAGAAAATTATTGAAATGTAAATGAGTGTCGTGGTGTTTGTATCTGGATGTTGGTGTTGATCCATATCTCGTCTGCATTGTGGTTTTGAGCAGATCGAAGCTGGAGCGTGTGAACATTTGGCTCTCATCTAACAGGAGTCAGGTTTTCTGATTCACAGTGAAGAATTGGATCTTTAGGCTGGATCCGAGTGCAGCATGCAGGAGTTATCCAGTATAACCAGACTTAGAACAAGCTGTGTGTATTTGCAGTGCAGCATGGGAAATGGACAGGAGATCTGGTTCAATCAAAAATCCATTTTGTTTCAGTTTCAGTTTATATTAGGTATCAGCAGATACTTAAAGCTTCAAAATCGATATCGGAACTGAAAAGGCTTGATAGGTGCATGCTTCTTCATGAATCCATCAGGGATAAAATCATTTTGGTAATCGATGCCTTTTTATGGACAACACTGCATGTATGTTTTTGGTTAATGTCACAGGGACAGTGTACATGAACGCACATTTCTGTAAATAGACCTGAATGAAGCAGAGAAGTTTTTCTTCAGCTGTAGTCCCTAAAAACACAAGAGCAGTGATAGAAAACAGTTCAGTGTGAGATTTTCTGGAAACACTCTGAATCACCTTGATAAAGCATGAACAAAGAAAAAAAGGAAGATACTTTGCTTTCCCTGTAGGGAGAATTGTCCTCTGCATTTGACCCATCCTTCAATGCTGCTGGGGCACCTCCTCAGGACCCACCTTCGTGATTGGATTGGAAGATGTAGTTTTTTTAAGTGAACAGCTCCTTTTACCTTTAGTTCAATAGAGATTGGAAATTCCAGGGCTGAAATGATCCAAAAGATTGTAGCAAAAGTGTATGGAATATAAAACACTCTTCTTGTTTTACCACATGACATCACAAGGGTGTTTTCTGTTTGATAGAAGAATTCAGTCTAGATATACAAGGTTTGTGTGTTAAACATGTGAATGAAACAAAGCACAGCCCCAGATCAGTTTGTGACGAGAAACCAACAGATGAGAAGTGTGTGTAAAATGGGCCCTTTAACTGTGTTTCTGTGTCCTTCTTTGTTTTTGTAGAAGTCTGAACGAGCTACGGGTGCTTTTGCTGGAGACCCACCGGCCGCCCCGGGAGGAGCGTGATGTGTGCAAAGCTGAGTGGAGGGTCAAAGAGCAGAAGCTACAAGACGACATCAAGAGTTTGAGAGAGAAGCTGCTGCTGCTGGTGAGAGCCTGGGCTGCTCCAGAGTACAGAGAGCTGGGGCCCGGAGAGCTGGGGGCCAGAGCACAGGGGGCTGCAGAGCACAGGCATTCAGAACAGGGCTGTGGTCCACTAAAAGAATATTTAGTGGACTAAAGATCTGCTGATGTCCTGCTGATCTAGGGCTGTCAAAACTACATTGAAAAAAAAAGGTTGCTGGATTTGCGTAAAAAAGTTATGGAAAGCGTATTTTTCACATATTTTTTTCAGAACATGAATGTCACCTTTTCATGTTGATGAAATTTGAACAAATCATGCTGAATATGCAGATTTATCTTATGGTACCTTATCATGAAATGTATAAGTATGTATAATGTAATTTAATTGATCTAATTCTGTAAAAGAATACAAAAACAATCTTTAGTTTTCTACAGTTCTGTATTGTCGTAAACAGAATCAAACACACAGAGAGCACAAGTACAGAGACACACAGTTTGGAGCTGGACAGTGTGAAGATTTATTCCAGTGAAGAAGCTCTGGTCTCTGCCTGTGGACACAGGAATAACACATGATGATCACATTCTGATGATCTACTCTGTTCTACATGTTTAAATACATTTAAAGCACTTATTACTACAATAATGAACCAGAACAGAATCACAAGAACATTAGAACTGTATCTGCAGAAACAAAACTTACCATGTGCTGTTCTTCTTCCTCTAAACACAGTAACAGGGAGGGCATCTGGTATAAAGTCTCCTAGTGCCACATCACCCTGTAGAAACACGATAACTGTTTCAATAGGAAGTTCATTTTGAAAAATTATTTTAAAATAATTTTAGTTGGTTTACTTACTTTGTTCATCTGTGCTCTGTGTTTTGTTGGTTCTCAAACTTCTTCCTTTTTTCTGAAACATCAGCTGTAACATTCATGAACTTCCCCACAGCTCCAGCAGAGCTCTGGATGTCACTCTGTGTTTGTAGACGACTCTGGAAGCAACACATGTAAATCTTAGTACAACTGTCACACTCTTGTAGATGGACAGTCAAAGACAATTTGTTTCAAGGAGTCCTTACTTTAACTCTAATTTCAAATAAAACAACACAAACATGTTTTAACAATGATGACATTCTAGGCCGGAGAAGCACATAATAAAATCTTTAAAAGTCTCACCTCCAGATCAGCTCTCATGATCCTCCTGCTCCACACTGTGTGTCCTCTGCTCCTGGATTTGTCCTGTGTCCTGTTACATTTGAATTTACCCTCCAAAAGTTTTGGGGAGGAGAATTCCAGAGGGAGGAGCCTCACCAGAAATTATTATAAAGTCATGTTTCCTCAACCTGATTAAAACATGCAGGTCTCACATCAGCCACAATCAAGCGTTGTTTGTAAGATTTAAACATGCTGGACAGAGAAACGTAAAAAAGTGATGTTATTGTTGTCAAATTTGTTTTTGCAATTTGAGCAACCCCTCTCGGACCGTTTTTTCAGTGTACTGAAAATAAGATACTCATTGATAATAAAACCAGTATCGCTAATAAATACTCAATTTAAAAGTATTGATACTGAAAAAATCCCATAAACATGACAAAATTGGACCTTTCTTGAACAGTGAATAATCTTAAAGAAACTTAAAGAAAGCACTATAATCTTGTGCTGAAAATTATATTCTGTTGTCTAAGGTTTTTTTTCTTTTCGTTATGGTGGTATTGAAATTGATGTGGAACCTTTTCCTTAGTATCAGAATCGTCTTTGAGAGGAACAGGAAATGAGGTATTAATATAAAAAGTCAGATTAAACTTTGATTTCGTTCTACGCACGAGAGTGTAGAGCACCCCCACTCAAAGCACACAGAAAGCATTCATCTGTTGTTGTCTGTGTGCATTTAATCAGCACAACATGTTCCCAGGGCAGTTCTGTGTGGTTTGAAGGAGCTCAAGTTCAAAAATACTCAATTTGTGTTGTTCAAATGTACTTTGGAAATCCTCGTGTTCTCTGTGGTCAGCCTGCACACAGTGAAGTTTCACTGTTAACCTGTTACAAGTGGCTAAACACTCCCCTTCAAGTTTGATTGTCTTTCCCAAACAGACAAACACAGAGTCAGGGCCGTGTGCACACATCCTGCTGGAGCTGCCATGTGACCGTCCTTGCACTGCTGTGGTTTCACCAGAGTGTGCATGTGAACGCTGTAATGTGCAGTGTGTTTAGGGCCTAACCACATTTTTGTTGTGTTGGCACAACTCTGGAATCACACTGATTTCTAGTAGAGAACTAGTCTGATTCATCAGCCTTTTTTACTTCGTAGAAAGCGTCTGACCTCGCAGCGTTAGACTTTGTTCGCTCGACAGTAGATGAGTACTTTTTTAATTTAACCAATCGCTGGTATTTGGTCTTGATGTATGTAATGTGCCGCTAACAGGGTTAACTGGTATATTAAGCTTTTCCAAAATCCCGTAGGAAGAAGGACAATAACGTCTTTCCCCTTGATAAAATTCACCAAACATTCTCTTTGTTCTGGCTTTAAATCCTATATGTCTCTTCGCTGATTGGCTGGTGCCCGGACTTGCACTTTCGGGGTTCTTGCAAACCATACATTGTATTCTGATTCCTGACCTAGTTGCTGGAGAGAAATTAAATTGAGTGGAGGCAGTAGGTGGCGCCCGCCTGGCTAGTAGAGAACTACCACCATGCCAAAAAAAAAGAAGTTATAAAATAGGTTGATTTGCATGGATCTAAAACCTCCTTGGGCATGTTTGTAAACATGAAACATGGTAGAAAGCTCCGAAACAGTCACTTTTGCATAATAGCCTCTCTTTAAATGTGACCGTTGCTGTTGCTGTGTTAGGGTCAGCAGCGCTCCTCACCGGATCACCGGCGCTATTCTATGTTGGAGCCTTCAGCCCTGGACTCGGAGGTGAGCCGTCTCAGACAGAGGCTGCTCTGTACAGAGGACGCCCTGAGGAACGCCCTGGAACACAACCATAATGTGGACCTGCTCGTGCAAGCCATGTGCAGGAAACCAGACAAGACTCAAGTAAGAACTCACATCTACAGAGCAAACAGCACAAGCACTGCACTCTCTGGAAGTGGCCCCTCCATTGGCCACAAGTGGAGCTGTAAGCAGAGGTGGTAGAGAAATGTTACTTCAAAATAATATTAAGTAGAAGTCCAAATAAGTGGTCCTAGACAAATTGGTGAAATAAAAGTAAAAGACTACTGGGAAAACTACTACTCAAGTAAAACTAACTTTAAGCATAACATCTGATCTATAATTTTAAATTAATGTAATCTGAAGGACAAAACATTAAATAATACACAACATCTGTTATTTTCAAAGGACAGACACAAAAATGAGACAAGCTCAATCATATTTGAAGGAGCTGCAAGAAACTCAAACGTTCAAATCATTTCACATTGTCACATAAAGCTTTTGTCACTTTAGACTCACACACAGTGGGAAGAGGAAGACCAACTTTTACTCAAGTAAGAGTACTGTTTCGTCAAAAAGTATGCTATTGGTATGCTACTAGAGAAGTACTCTGAAAAGTACAACAAGTACCTTTTCTGGCTGCAATATATTCTCTGGCTGGGGAAGACCCAGGACACGCTGGAGGGACTATGTCTCTGGACTGGCCTGGGAATGCCTTGGGTCCCCCGGAGGAGCTGGAGGACGTGTCTGGGGTGAAGGAAGTCTGGGAGTCCCTGCTTAGACTGCTGTCCTCATGACCCAACCTCGGATAAGTGAAAGAAAATGGATGGATGGCTGCAATATAAATGCAAAAACTACTGAAGTTGCTATTTAAATGGACACAAATCACAAATATTTGTAGTACCGTAATTTCCTGAAAAAACAAACACAGTTCATATTTCAGTCCGTTCTTCTGGATGTGTTTAAACTGAGAATTGAACATCCGGTTCTTAAAATAGAAATGCTTGTCGAAAAATTGCAATGAGATATTTTTTTCTCAAATCATTCAGCCGTAGAAACAAATGACCCAGGAACAGTTGTGTTAGATCTAGAAGTGAGCAGTACTCAGTTACATTTATTCACTTACTTTTACCTGACTTACTTTTTAAATAAATTTTACTTTTCAGAGTCTGTTTCTTGTAGCATACTTACTCCTACTTCAGTCATATTTTTATTGAACTAACAGTAATCTTACTTGAGTTGTGGTTCTTCTTCCCACTGTGAATAACTCTACAAGTGACAAAAGCTTCACATGACAATATGAAATGATTTGAACATTTGTGTTTCTTGTGTTTCAGATATGATTTAGTTTGTCTCTTTCTGTGTCATCCTTTGAAAATACCAGATTTTGAGCATTATTTAATGTTTTGTATTCTAAATGACATTCATTTATAAATCAGATGTTATGTCTCGACAGTTACTCTTTAAGTTACTCTTTCTTGAGTAGCAGTTTTCCAAAATACTCTCACTAGAGTAATGTCTTTGATTAATACTTTGTATTTCTACTTAACATTACTCTTACTTGAGAATCGTTCTTGGCTCCTCTACCCACCTCAGGTTAAATCCCACAATCAGCTTTATTTTACCTGCAATATTTAACAAGTGAGCAAGTGAAAGCATGTATAAAACACAGTGATGCTGTGGAGAATGTTGTGTACTTTGTAGGTGGTACGTGTTCGTGGATGTCTCTGACAGTTGTCTTTCTACAGGTGCATGAAGCTCATTCAGCAAACGGAATCCACTGTGAGCCAAACACAAACAATGTGAGTACAGTCCATGAGAAACAGGTCCTTATAATCCTGCTGTTTCAAAGTCAACATGTTGTATTAGTGCACTGACAAAACCAGTCCACTTCTATTGTACTTTCCACACTGAATACAATTTAAGCAGATACCGATTCAAATATGTGATAAAAAACAATTTTCCAGACTGTCGTCCATTAGAGATGAGATGTTTTTTGTCACATATACACTGCTTCTGTTCAAAGGTGCTGTAGCTGAAACACAGAACTGGTTCATTTGAAACATTTTGCAGTGGTCCAAAGTTTTACCTCACTTACCTTATGAATCCTGAGCATCTGAATTCTTCAACACAATGAGTTTATAAGAACTTTTCACAAGACCCGAGTTTTGCCATGATTGTAATGTAGTGGGAATGAAATATTTGTCAGTGTTAAACCTGTAGCATCTGTTTACATCTGATTAAATCATTGTTCAGTTTTCAGTAGTGTTCACACATTTTGTGAACTCCCTTAGTTTTTGGTCAACCCTGTCAGATCCATGCATATGGAGGTTTTTTTTTTTTTGTCCATTTTTAGAAACTTGAATTTGACAATTCACTTTCTGTGGTGTAAGTAGTAAAGGACATAAAAAATGCACAGCCTGATTTGTGTCGATTGTTTACAGAAATGTATAAAATTAAAACAGAAAAAATATTTTTGGAAATTGAGAAATTAAGTATAAAAGTATAAAGTATAAAATTAAAATTTTTGTTTTCAGATATACTTTAATTGGACACAATGGTACAACATGAATTTAAGTATATATTTTTGTTAGATTGGAGTAAATCAAATTTGATGTGTTTTTGTGTGTCTGATGGAGTTGACAACAACTGAGTTGTATCGGAAATATGGCATTTTTTATATTTTTTTATATATATTTTTTTATTCAGAACCTGTTCTTTTGCATTTCTGTTCAGATCAGACCTCACTCTACAAAGAGATACAACTCTCGTAAATGTCGAATGCTTTTGAAAAAAAGTAATTTTAAAAGCCTTTCTCCTGTGCCCGACTCTTAAGAATCACTGATATAATAATAAATGGGAAAATCTGGTACAGGCCCTTTGGAACAAATTATCAATGAAGTTCTAGAGCTCTAAATGATATTAGTGCTATTATTATTATTATTATTATTATTATTATTATTATTATTATTATTATTATTATGTTTGAACCTAACCTTAACCCTGTGTGTTTTACAGGAGCACCTCTGATATGGGAGCAGAGGAAATGGAGATGAGGTTCAGTCACCAGAAGAGGCAGCCCTTAAACACATGTGTGCTGGGTTGTCTCTGATGTAACAGGCGGTTTCTGGAAGTTCTTTTGGACTTCCTGCTGCGTGAACCTCTGCATGTACATCAACCCAGAGAGCCAAAAGCATTTCCTCCTCTTCATTTGAAGTAACAGTGCGAAAACATGAAGGGACAGGACTGGTGTGAGCAAAGGGCAAAGGACAAGTTTGTATGATTCACTAATAAGACCTAGATTCTTTAAATTGTTTATTTTAGCTATGTTTTTACTCCACTGGCAGAAAGTATAACATGAAATAAGAAGCAGTATTATGAAACATATGGGAAATGGAACTTGTCAAATAATCCCATCAATATTAACATTAGAAACGTTTCTCCGCTGTTGGACAAATACATCTTTTTCTCATCATGCATCATTTTAACCCAAAATTGTAACTCAACTTTTAGCGCTATACATGACTACTGCACTATACGGACACACACCAGTCACACACAACAGCACTGTTAATGTCCACACTCCATTCAAGTCCAGTATATGATTTAATAAAGAAGGACATGGAAGTAACAAGCTTAACTTAAGTCTTAATTAATAATGGTACAAATACAAGTGGGCATTCTGCCTGGCCCTTAGACTTTGTAGCACGGCCCTGACAGGAGCACGGCCCTGACAGGAGCACGGCCCTGACAGGAGCACGGCCCTGACAGGAGCACGGCCCTGACAGGAGCACGGCCCTGACAGGAGCACGGCCCTGACAGGAGCACGGCCCTGACAGGAGCACGGCCCTGACAGGAGCACGGCCTGACAGGAGCACGGCCTTGACAGGAGCACGGCCTTGACAGGAGCAGCACACACGACTTTCCATGCTGTGGCCTTTCTTTGATTGACTGTGGCCTGGGCTTTCCTGTTTTTTTTGGGTTTTTTTTCTTTTTAAATTAATTTATTTTTTATTATTAATTATTCTGTTGAATATGTTTAGATTTTTCTTTTTACATATGTAAAAATGAGCCAGCTGATTTTAAGTTTGTAGGTGATTTGACCTGAAAGCTCCAGTTTCCTCTGTGCCTTCTCTCCTGCTCAGACTGTACTGTACATGTGCAGCTCTGGTGCACAGGCCACACCCACTCCAGAGGAGCTCAGAACACTCGCCGAGCACTCCGGCGCTCACCACTGTTTCTGTTAAGAGTCTATTTAACTGGAGAAGCCTTTTCTCTTCATACATGAATAGTTATGGTGTGAACACGTGGTGTGACACATGCAGCTTCAAATGCTTCAAAACCTTGAGTGTGAGAGTCACACCACAACTAAACCTCTCCCACACTGGAGTCACATCTGAACCAGTACAGTCTAAGGGAGGTGGACCCAGTGTCTGTGCCAGGATCTCGTGTCCAACAGGTCAAGTAGCCTGCTCCTGCTCCTCTGACCTTCTGCAGGCTCTGAGGAGCACACCACGCTCTGATGTTCCTCATAAGAGCAGGGCATGAGCACACCTGAACACAGTCCCACTGATGCAGCTGTGGGTTGTTGTTGGGATCCATAGAAACTGTTCATGGAAAGTACAGAATCTGGACTGCTCAAGTACTGAATACCTTAGATCATTTACATATGGACAGGCTGACATTGTGAGATGTGTTTACAATGCAGTCATTAACACTTCATCTGAACTGGTACATAAACACTGTTTTGAATGTATATTGTATATACTGACTGTAGGTTAGATTTGAGAGGAACTGAGATTCACTTTCTCTCAGGCTTTCAGCAGGCACAATTACAGATTGCATTTTCAGTCAGAATTGGAAGTTGTCAGAGCCTTTTTATGAGAAGCTAAATGTCCTCAGCTCATGCTAATGTTACTGTTACTTTTGTTATGTTACAGTCTGCACTTGAGTAGATTATTATTGTCTTGTTTGGTCAATAATGTAATAACCAGCCAATAACGCATACACATATTTATTTCTCACTCATCTATTTCAAACTGAAATAATTAGATTTCATAACATGGTTGTAACACATTGAGGTTTTGGCTTTGCAGATAGACCTGTCTGTCTTTTCCTCGTGTGCCTGAGTCTGACACACGTGTTGGCGATGTACAGTCTCAACCAAACTAAGACAATGAGAGACAAGAAAATGACTGATGTACTGTACCCTGACTGACCAGGGTCAGACCAAGGCCATATTCAAGTTTAGTGGTTGAATTGTTGGTCATGTCACTGGAAGGATTACTTACTACTACACTACTACTACTATTACTACTACAGCTAGCAATGTTTACAGCGGTTCTTTCCAGCTTTCTGCTTTTCTAATTGCACATTGACAATAGGCTTGTAACAACTTGAAACATGCTTGCCTTTTATATTGGATCACATATCTCTAGCCTTTGTAAAAAGAAAAGCAGATACAAGAACAACCACACCTCCTTACAAACCATATGCGAAAATGTCGGTCTTTACTGTTGTAATACATGTTCAACTAATAGACAAAAGACACTGAAAGCTGAGTAAATACTCTGTACTACCATGAATCATATTGACCTATACGTCCTATCAGCATTGAAATCCCAGTCGATTGATTGTTTGGTTTTGATTGGCTAATGGGTCCAGTCCAGAGGTGGATAAAGGACAAATAGTCAAATTGAGACTAATCCCATTCTAAAGAAACACAAACATGTTCTGTATGAAGCCTTTTCACTGTTCGCTTTTACCGGAGCAGAGATGACACAGGACCTTCAGTATCACAACATTTTGAATGTGAGTCTTCCAGCTCTGTGGTTTAGCTTGCACTCCATAACAGGTTACAGTATGGGTCAGTATGGTCAGTGTTGTCGGTAGACATGGACAGTGGACATTTGCTGGTGTTGTCCCAGGGTTTAGCTCCACAGCTCTGCCTCCTGCACTCACACCTCTGTACACGCTGTCTGTCTGTGGTTACTCCAATCTCTGGATTATGACATGACTGCAAATCTTATTAAATCTGAACATGATTAACATGAACACTGGTGTGTGATTTCACTTGGGTTTCTTATTACTGTTACTTTTTTAAGATTTTTGTCTGAAAAATGTCATTGGTGCTAGGCCAATCAATAGACTGGAATTTAGTTATACACCCAGAATGTCCAAATTCTTTCCAAACTGTGGGCTTCAAACCCATGTGTCTGTAAATTTTATAAGCAGTAGTGTTAACAGCAAATGTAAGTCATTTCACCACTATAACTCCATCAAGTGTTATGGTGATACAGAGCTAAAATAAAGGTTTCAGTCCTTATCACAGGTACGAGGTATCAGGCTGCAACCTCTAAGAGAATAAATGTGACCTTTTAGAGCAAACTGATGCCCTTTTGTCGCCAGTTTGAATATGTTTCCCTCTGAAAAAGGTCTGAGCCATATGACAGCAATGAGGCCAATCACTTCAGTTTACCACTTAATCTAAACATCAAATTGTCCACATGCTTTCTGTAACAGAGGATTGGCTGTACACCTCCTGATTAAAAAAAGACCCTATCTGAATGAAATTCTAATCATTAGGCTCCTGCTCCTCAGCCCCAGGCCTGTGCCAACACAAGAACCAGATTATTAGAGCTAGTCTACAAATGGATTTATGTTGTGTAGAATTGGCCAATGCTGTTTGTTTGATTTATTTAGTTAAATCTTATTTTGAGACTACACCGGTGTGTGACTGTACTCTTGTGCCTTACCTACAGTGACCAAAATACAAAACTGGGATATTCGTGGTTTGTGGTGGTTGGTAATCATAAAATTGTGAAACAAGTGAGTAATTAAGGGAAATTGTTCTGTACACGGCTCTAATATGAGTCAGTATAGTCACATTTTCTTTGTGTTTTGGTCATTTTTTTTAAGATGCTTTTTTGTATTTTACCTAAACAAATGACAAATATGCCTCTCTTTACTATTGGCAAGGATCAGATTGGTCAAAAATAGAGACACGTGGGACATTTCTTGTGTAAAAAAAAAGTCAATGGTTTTGTATAAATCTGCTGGGACAGGGGACACAGGGCTCAAACTGGGACTGTCCTGGGTAAATAGGGACATCTGGTCACCCTAGCCTATCCAGAAGCAGACCATAGCAGTCCCTCTTGTAATTCTGAACTTGTCACCAAAAATGTTGTAGACTAAACAAAAAATTAAATTAAATAAAAATAAATGCACCAATAGAAGTCCTTCAGATTATTGCCCAAACTGAGTCGAGAATGGAAAAAGTTATGTGCTCTTTCCACAATTTTATTTATACCATCCTTCCCAACCCAGGTGTGTCCCAGTTTAGAATTTTGAAAATCTAGTCACCCTGGTAGACTAGGGTGACCAGAATTTCAAAATAAAAAACTGGGACATCCCCATTTTTTTGGTGGTTGGTAATAATAAAATAATAATAATAATAAACGAGTTTGTAATAAAGGAAACGTGTTATGCAGAGACCACACATGACGAACAAGTGAGTCAGTATATTCACATTTTCTTTGTGTTTTGGTCATTTTTAATTACAATTTATGCCTCTTTACTGTTGGCAGTAGAGGTGTAAGAAAAAATTGATTCAGTGATACATCTTGATACATCATTGCACAATTCTTGAATCGATTCAAAATGGATCTAAATAAATTTTTAAAATAATGTTTTTCACAATAATTCATTAGTTGCATTCACTGTTCTCATGATTAAAAAAATGTACTAAATTACATTTCATACAGTTGTGTTTTCTTGAAGGTGTAGTTGACGGTATTATTAAAAGTAATTATTGATAAATCGTAATATATCACCTATTGTTTTAGTATCGGGATTCTGTGATATATTGAATCGTGATGTGCTTATCATGATTAGAGCTGGTATCATTAAGAAGTTGAAGATATGATCTATAGGCCATGATAAGATACATATCTTGATACCGTGCACTTTTGATTCAATATGATATATTTCAAATCAATTCGATATGGTTAAAAATAAATAAATAAATAAAGGCTAACTCATGGCTTTAATACTAAAAGTCTTTGTTAATTCACTTCTTGTGCAAAGTTCATATGAAACACAAACATTTTAATCCTCAAAACTGTGAAAATGTCAAATGTGTCTCATAGAGTTTCCTTTCACTAAACAAACAACAAAACCGTAGCACTGTATAACTGAGTAAAATACACCAAAAAATACTCTTGGTGATACATCGAAACAGCAGCCCACGATATCGATACTGTATCATCACTTAAATGATACGATATATCGGAATTTCCATATTTTTGCACACCCCTAATCATGATATGTATCGTATCATCAGACTCAAGGCATCGAGTCACCCCTAGTTGACAGGCATCAAATTGGTCAAAAATAGGGACACCTGGGACATTTCTTGTATAAAACTGGGACATTCTAGAATCTGAAAACCACCAATTCCTGCAGATTTAGGCTGAGTTCTTCTCTCAAACTGAAAACACTCTGTTCCCCCTCGAGGGCTGGGTATCATTCAGAATTTGCTGATACGATACAAACCTCGATACATGGGCCTCAATACGATACATATGTCAATACAATGATCTTTTGATTCGAAATGATTCAATATGATATATTTCAAATTGATTAGATACGGTTCAATAAAAAATACTGGCGAAAACATGGCTGTGATACTAAAGGTCTTTGTTAAACCACTTCTTGTGCAAAGTGAATATGAAATACGCCCATTTTAATCCTCAAAACTGTGAAAATGTCAAATGTGTTGCATAAACAAATTTCCTTCCTCTGAGTAAGCAACACATTGTAACTGTAACTAAATCATTTAGTCAAATACACCAACAAATACTCTTGGTGATGTACTGCTAAAACTGGGACAAATGAATGGTTTGGGATAAATCCGCAGAGACAGGGGTCATAGGGCTCAAAACTGGGACTGTCCTGGATAAAAAGGGACGTCTGGTCACTCTACTGTAGACCCACATCTGTGCTCATAATCCTGACCTAATCTGACACCAGCATCAGAAAAGTTTGATAAAAGACGAGTGAAATATTCCACAAGTGTGCATTGGTCCGAGCGCCTGCAGCTCCGGGTCCCTGTTAATCCTGTATGGAAATGGCAGCCAATAGATGCTGCTGTTGAGTGGGGCTGGGATTAGCAGGAGGCGAATGAGTTTCAATTTTACTAGATTACAGAACAAAGAAAAGGGAAAGGGACACTCAGACTGTTATGTAAAAACTCCACTACACTGAGATATTGTGATTACAGCACATCGACACGACTCCCCTTGGCTTTGTGCTGGTGTGACTCGTTTGGATCACACAGGATCATCTTTGTGGGCGAGAATTGTCCGCGTTTATCATGGATTAAACAGGAAACAGCCCGGGATTGGCGACAGCATCAAGGCTACTACTTCACTTCTTTAGGTGAGATTTGCTCCGATGTCTCTTCATTTATAATCGCGTGGTTTGTGCTGTGTTCGCGCGTTCACTCGAGGATTATGCTCTGTAAATGTCACGGTAATCGAAGCAAAAGCGAGCAGAATAGAAGGCAAAGTGCTAACGCTAGCTAGCTAATGGGCTAATGTAAACGAGCTAATGTTAGCAGATTAAACAGCGCTCTGGAGCTGGCGTCAGATTAGCCCACGAATCTGGAATAAAGCAGCAAACTGAGCCCGTTAGACACTCGTGCGTGGCATAATGCACTACATATCTAAGTTTTTTTTTTCTAGTGTTACGCCCAAGTAGGTAACTCCCGGGAGTATCATGAGATTAGATTAGAATAGTCGTCAATCCACTTGAAATGAACATTCTGATCCGTGTGGGAGAAAGTGAGCACTAAAAACCGAGGGGATTTGACAGATCCGGTGCTAGACAGTGCTCAAGAGTGTCCAGCTAAAGTCTGAACCAACTTTTACAATACAACAAGTGAAGAGTGTGGCATAGACACTGGGAGATACAAAGGAAGGCTCAGATCAAACACTGGATCAGTCAGGAAAGTGACTTTATTTGCATGTGATGGGACATGTTCTAAAAGCAAAGCATTCATCTATAAAAAGCCCCATGTTACACTATTTTCTGATTATTGTTATAAAGTAGTTTCCTCATCACAAACAAACCTGCCCTTGTGTTTTGTTTCATTCACACATGTTTAACACAGTTTGCTGGTTTCAGATGACATCACAGCTTTCTATAGACCAATGTTATTTAATACAGATGGGGACAACTTAAAGTAATATTGTTAAACTGCAGATTTTTGTTACCATACAGTGAGTATTGGGGAGTAACAGATTACATGTACTGGAGTTACGTAATCAGAGTACAAATTATGAGTAACTGTATTCGGTTACAGTTACTGTTTCAGGGAGTGGTGATTACAGTTACTTTGCTGAAATAAGTGGATTACACGGAAATATTTAACTGTTTTTACATTTTGGGCTATCCCCCCCCTTTTTTTTTCTGTAATTCCACTCATTGCCGGACACTAAACCAGGTCTAAACTATGTCTAAACCAGGACTCAAACCAGGGTCTAAACCATTTCTAGAACAGGATTTAACAGGACTAAAACCAGGTCTAAACCAGAACTAAAACCAGGTCTAAACCAGGTCTAAACCAGGTCTAAACCAGGTCTAAACCAGGTCTAAACCAGGATTTAACAGGACTAAACCATGCCGTGCAGACCTTGTCTCCTCCTCTTCTCTCAATAATATTTTTTAATACGGTTAAGGAAAGTCTGGTCTTTTTATTGTCTTTTAGCAGACAAAACGTCTTATGTGAAAATATCCTAATCTTTGCTTTTCTACAGCAAATCAAGTAAAGTAAAGTAATCCAAAGTATTCAGATTACATTACTCACTTTAAGTACCTTAATGGATTCCGTTACAAACTACATTTTGGGGTATGTAATCTGTAATCTGTAGGGGAATACATTTTAAAAGTCACCTTCCCAACACTGCATACAGTGAGTTCTTGTGTCTAGACACTAATAGAAATGTTCAGGTTCAACATTGGTGAATTTACATTTTGGCTCAGGGCTTTCATGA